CATGACTGCCATCTTTCACATCAGAAGATCCAGGTACTCAATAAGCTATTCTCTGCAGGGTGCCTAGTCTTAGGACTCAACCCTGCCTAATGAAAACAGACAGTAAGTAAACAAATGGATGTGGGTTGATTATTAAAAAATATAAAGCCCATATCTGAAGAAAGGTCAAGTAGGCTGCTGTGATCCCCGCACATAGGAGGTAGAGACAGAAGGATTATTTGAGTTTGAGACCAGCCTGAGCCACATAGAGGGAAACCCATCTCAAACAAATAAAAAATAACCAACAAACAGATCACCACAGCCATTATGGAAAACATTTTTTTTCACAGATCATAGTTAATGCAGTCACCTTATGCTAAGCAAGACTTTCCCTACACTATGCCCCAGAGGAATGAAGACAGTCATCAATCCAAAACCTACACATGTTGTGGGACAACACTCTTGTACCCTGTAAGGATTTGTCACTTGCACTGGTGTAATAAAACGCTGATTGGCGAGTAGCCAGGCAGGAAGTATAGGCAGGATGACCAGATTAGGAGAATTCTGGGAAGAGGAAAGGTGGAGATGCAGTTGCTAGCCAGACACCGATGTAGTAAAATGAGAATGCCTTACTGAGAAGAGGTACCAAGCCATGTGGCTAAACATAGATAAGAATTATGGATTAATTTAAGTTGTAAGAGATAGTTAAGCCTGAGCATAGGTCAAAGAGTTTATAATTAATATTAAGCCTCTGAGTGGTTATTTTATTTTATTTTTTTAATTTATTTATTATGTATACAATATACTGTCTGTGTATGCCCGCCGGCCAGAAGAGGGCACCAGACCTCATTACAGATGGTTGTGAGCCACCATGTGGTTGCTGGGAATTGAACTCAGGACCTTTGGAAGAGCAGGCAATGCTTTTAACCTCTGAGCCATCTCTCCAGCCCCGTGAGTGGTTATTTTAAAAGTCATTATGTGACCAGGCAGAAACGTCCAGTTACAAACACATACATGTACGTTCATACTAGTACTATTTATATTTGCCTCAAAGAGAAATCAGCCCCAATGTCCCTCAACCGATATGAAGACTTACTAGAAAGTCCTTATGGTAGACCGTTGTTTGGCAGTAAAAAGGTACTAGGTACTGTTAAGTCTGGAGCATAGCCCCAGCCCCTGACATCCATCCCAGCCCCTGGCCTGGGAGTTGCATTAGTCTGGACTCCAAATCCTAGCATGCTAGGTCCTGACATCTCTGGGGTTGGGGTGGGGGTCAGGACCACTCCCACAGGGTGTTTAAGTGGGCTCCCAGAGGAGAAACACATGCTTCCGGGTTTGCATGGGCTCCCCACTTTCCTGTCTCCCTGCCATGTGCTCGGCCACCTGAGAGCGCTATACTTAATAAAACAATGGGCATTTTAATTTGGTTTGATTTGACCTAATGGATTTCTTTGTACCGGTGGAGCTGCCCCCCCTTCTTAATTTTTTCTTAACAGGCACAATAAAAAGATCTGTGTGATGATATGGATGAACTTGGAGTGTATATGCTAAGCTAAGAAGCTCAACATGCAGGGCTAGGATCCTACTTTACGAAATGTACAGACGACACCAAGACTGATGGGAAGCAGGCAGATTAGTGGGTACTTGCTGTGCAGGAAGGTGGGAAGATGGGCGTATCTAGTGACGAGGGTGAGGCTTCTCACAGGGCCATGGAGACGTTCTCAAGTTAGATTGCGGTGCAGTCCCACAATGGTATAAACATGCTAACCCTCATCAAACTGGACAACTTGAACAGAGGAGCTTTACGGCATATGAACCGTGCCTCAGTAACACTTTCCAGAGTGAACAGGTAAACTGGAAAAGGGATTTGCTGAGGGGTTGCAGGGCCCTAATATGCTCGTCACTGCTTCCAATCTCTCAGGGTCCTTAATGCACTCATTGGAAACCCTTCTAGACCTCTCCATTGGAGCAGATTCATGTGTTAATTTGCCATTTGTTAACTTTTAAGGTCTATGCGTGTTAGTTTTCCTTCTGCTTTTGAATAGAAAACATTTGCTCCTTTATTTTCTTCAACCTTTACCACGGAAATGGTTCTGCTGCTGACTCCCCTAAACAGTCCTGTGGCTTTCAGAGCCCTCAGAGAGTATTTCCATGTCCTGGTCCTTCATTTTCCATGGGGACGTTATGGCTACTTGGATATTGTCTTTGACTCTGAAAAGCTTGGCTCTGGTATTTAATGAAATGTGATTGTCTCCTTGGATTGGCATATTGGTGAGGCAGCTTTCCCACGCATCTCTCATGAATGATCCATTGTCTGTAACTTCCCCTCGTGGGTTAGAATCTCCCAGAGTCCATTTCACCACCTGAGCAGAATTTGCATCTACATCTTTTGGTCTCAGGAAATACTAGGGTTTGGGCTCAGATGACCATTTTATGCTTTCGTTCTGCTTCTGAGTCACAAAGATACATTTATCTTATTTTTAATATTCTTTGATTAATTATCTTTAGTTACTATATATATTGAGTGGAGTAATAAGGTAAAACACTACTTTACAGTGCCACTTTAATTGGATATTTTAAAGGTCAGCGCGATCCAATTTTAACAAGAAGATTGAAGCAAAGCACTAAATGCTCCAGATTAGAGTAGGAAAAAATTGCTTTTTTTTAACATTTGCAATATATGGAGCACATAACATTAAGTGGAATAACAGTGGGTTTCAAGTGCACGATTAAAGAGTAAAGAGCAAATTCGAATATAGTTCTGAGACCCACAGAAGGCAAGGGCAGGGAAAAATGAGTGCTAATTATTCACTATTTTAATGAAGTATGGACAAACAAATCAACAAGACAAATCATTTCAGTTCCACCTTTGGTGATGCAGCAGCGCCTATTCTTGTGATGTATTTCACAGGGTACCTACTACTACAGTTGGAAGGTTTATAGTACCTTAATAATTTTCTTTTCTTCAATTATTTAATGATACCAACCATGTTCTTGCTATCCAATGAAAGACCCCAGGGATGTATAAATGAACCTTGAGTATTCCTTGTCTCAAGGAGTGTTTGTATAAAGTTAACCACAAAAGTTAAACAAGGCATAGACCCATGCTTTGACAAGGGCTGTGGTAACTACACAAATGAGGACACTCGAAGCACAGGAAAGGAGTGACTTCCATTTGCAATGATGCTGCTAAGAGGTGATCCCAGAGTGTCACAGAGAAAGCAGGGTGCTGAAGGCTTTTGGGGTTTCTATAAGGGAATGGAACAACAGAGAAAGCGAGGTGCTTAAGGGTCTTGGGGTTTCTCTAAGAAATGGAGCAAAACTGAGAGAAACTAACTTGAGTTTACACCATTCTAATTTGGATTTGGGGTTATTTTCAGATTTAGTGAAGATTCTGGGGGTGTGATAAACCACATCTACCTCTCTGTCTCATTCATCCAGAAGTACTCATCTCATTGAGCAGGATTCCTACAGCCCAAAAGAGCTGCATCTGCTGATTTAGGGGAAAGAAAAGAGACTGGCGTGGTCTAGATGTAGGGCGAGCAGCACTCATTTACAGGTGAGCAGTGAGTTACGGGGACTCTTGTAGACTACACAGACCGAACTTTTGTTTTCGGCTCTAAGGAAACTCAGCCTCAAAAAACTGGAGAGTGAAATATTTGTTGCATAGTCTTGAAATATGGGCACCTGAGTCACTGAAATGGAGAAAAAAATGCAGCTAGATAAAAAGAAATTGATCAGAAAGATGTAAGGAGCCCAGACCTGAAGCAGTAACTTTTCAGACTAGATTGTCATTAGAATAGGGGAATCAAGAGCCTGGAGGTGGCTGGACACACCTATAATCTCAGCACTAAGGAGGCAGAGGCAGCTGGATCTCTGTGAGTTCGAGGCCAGCCTCATCTACAAAGCAAGTTCCAGGACAGCCAGAGCTGTTACACAGAGAAACCCTGTCTTAAAAAACAAACAAACAAAAAATGTTGGGTAATCAGAAATGTCATAAATGATTTGCTTTAGAAAGGCTACGGAAAGCCATGCTTCTGTTAGTGTTTCCTTGTAGAGTGGGACCCTAGTTGAGATACAACTAGGACAGGACATTTGCCATCATATTCAGTGCGTGGGGATCTGGGGTCTCATCAGCAGAGCACCAAGTCTAAGGTGTACTGGGGAGACAGCTCTTCAGAGGATTAGCTGACTCTGTTAGGTCTTCATATGATGTTAGATTTGTAGAAGCTTGGGAAAGATCACTATCCCAAGAGCTGCCTCTTTCTAACTCCTAGGTCTCCCCTCAATCTCTTGGGTACCCACACAGTGTTTTTTAAGTAACTGTTTCTGTCTGTAGGTGAGTGCTTATTGTTCCTACTTAAGGAAATTCCTAGGAAACTCTTTTCTAAGAACAACAAAAAGAAAATCCGACCATAAAAACCTGCGCAGAGCATGATTCAAAGGGAAAAAGTGAGCCACAGTGAAAGCCAGTTTGAGCTGGAAAGATTTGCACTCTAAAGTAACCAGACATGTGTAGCCACTTACGAGGCTGTCTGGTCACATGTGTTTTAAAGCGTTTGTCCGAGTGATCAGAAAGCCACAGGCAAAGTCCAGCGCTCTAGAGCTCCCAGGGGTTTGCTTGAGTGACTCTCAAGTCTCAGAATGGACAGGAAGTGAAATGACTTCACAGGTTGAATGCAGGTTGTTATTGCCTAACTTGGGGAAAGCCTGGGAAGCGATTCCCGAAGCCAGTGACTCACTGGCCTGGACGGTGACTCGCTAAGGGAAACTGGAAGCAGCAATAAAACTCACAGGCCCCTAGGATGAGTGCTGCCAGGAAGAACCAAACAAGACTCGGAGGCTTAGCTTAAATCAAGGCTTCAGTCCTGAAAGCTGAACCTAATTACACCCTTCTCTTTCATTTACAATCAAATCAAAACAAAACAACAACAACAAACCCAGAAGACAGAACCCTCCATGGCATTGCCCTCCCTTGAGGAGTTCACATTTCTAAAATGCAAAAATAGTTCTTTCCTAACCTGCTGCATTTGTTCGTCCTCTGAAGACATCGTCATAACCTTTCCACTGTGGCTTTAGCTGGTAGGCATGGATGAACACCACAAATACCACCACGAGGCACATGAGAGGAATGAGAGCAGCCGTGAAGAGAGCAGCGTAGATATTTGGAATGAAGCACCTGGAAGAGAGCAGGCAAGCGTTAGCTCAGACAAACACAAGATGAAGATACATATCCATACTTCATCTTCTCGTCACTTCGCCCCAGCTCTGTGACTGGAGTTGCTGGCAAAAGTCAATGTGGCCTTGACAAAGTAAAGCTGTCATAGAGGAGGAGACACAGGTCTACCTATGCGCCACTGAGGAGATCTGAGAAAATGAGACACTTCCAAATACGTTTGCCAATCTACCGTTTGCATCCCCTAAACGTCTGATCCAGAGCGTGCACCTGTCACTGTAAACCTCCCCACTGTGTGGGGAGGCATAGAGCCGGTGTACCTCGACTTCAGACTAAGAGTGGTATTCAAGTCTATCACTACATTTTGACTAACAGATTTAGGAACAATTAGCCTTTCCATGTCTTCATTTATCTTAAAAATAAAATTTGCAACACCATCCACAATAGAAGTTAGTTATGAAAATTAACTGAATTAGTTTGCTACACAGCTAGAAAATTTTAAAGAAACAACATTTATCTTCTTTTTACTAGCTCCATCTTCCTAAACAAGCCCTGAGGAGCATGCTGGGGATATAAGGAGGTGGGGAGATGGTTCAGGTGGAAAAGTGTTTTCTATCTTTGATCCTGAGAATGCACAGAAATGCTAGATATGGTGGAATGTGCTTGCAGTCCCAACTCTACAGAGAAGGAGACAGGCAGACCCCCTAGGGCTTGTTGGCCAGCCAGTCTAACCTAATCGGCACGCTGCAAGCCAAGTCAGCGTAGCCTAATCGGCATGCTGCATGCCAAGCCAGCCCATCCCAATCAGCAGGTCGCAAGCCAAGCCAGCCTAGCCTATGGCACACTGCTAGCTAAGTCAGCCTATCCTAATCGGCACGCTGCTAGCCAAGCCAGCCAAACCTATGTACGCTGCTAGCCAACAAGAGACCCTTTCTCAAAGAAGATGGTCTTGAGGAACAGCACTCAAGGACGGCCACTGGTTTCCACATGTGCACACTCCTCACATACTGCTCGCTACAAATGTGAGGATTTTCTACCTTGGCATGGACACTGGTTTTTGACAGTTCTGTCACTTCTCAGCTGTACTTCCATAGAGTGGCAGTTTCCTGTGAGAGGAAAACCTTTCATCTTGGAGGAAAATTTCCTAAGACGTTAAGAGTGAGTCTCTTTTATTTTACCCAATTTCCATTGTTTCCTTGATGCATAGTATTTTTAACCCTATGTTATATTATAGCCATAGTAAAGTTTGAAGAAAAGTCAAGGAGAAATACATTTAAAAGGAAATCTCAAAATAAAAAATCTAGATAGTTAGATTTTGTAAATGCTCATTCTTGCAGCTGGAGAAAACTGTCTCTATCAAACATTGAAAGGAAAAGGCTTGGGAGATGGTTCAGCATCTCCCAAGAACTTACTTTGCTTGCAGAGTACAGAGGACCCATATTTGGTTCCCAGCATCCTTGGCTGGGCTGCTCACAATCACCTCCACTACAAGCTCCAGAGGATAATGTCTTCTGATACAAACTAAAGTTATCTGAGAAGAGGGACCTCAAATGACAAAATGCCTCCATCCGATTGTTTGTAGGCAAGTAGGTAGCACATTTTTGTGACTAATGACTTATGTGGGTTGTGCCGCCCCTCAGCAGTGGTTCTGGGTTAAGGAAGAACTGTTGAGCAGGCCATGGGAACTCATTCTTCCATGGCCTCTGCTCCAGTTCCTGCATCTAGGTTTCTGCCTGGAGTTTCCTTCCGGACTTCCGTTCATGAAGGGACATAACCCGTAAGTTGAAATAAACGCTTTCCTCTCTGGGTTGCTTTGGCTCATGGCATTTTGTCAGAGCAACAGAAATCAAACTAAAACATCCCCCCCACACACACAATCACATACATAGTTAAAATAAAAATAAATCAAAAAATAAATAATCAAAGAGTTTAAACTAAGCAACATTGTTAAGAACCTTACTCAAGTGAGGTAAGTGCTTGCCTTTGGTGAAGGGAGGTGGATAATGTCACACTGGGTAATCATGTGCAGAGGGAATGGTACTGAAATCTTATAGCCCTCAGGTAGAGTGGGCAGCAGAAAGGGCTGCCGGTCAGATGTCAGAGGACCACAGCACTCCACTCCTCCTTAAAAGTCTAGGCCCATGTTGACTGTGTGGGTGATGAACATGGGCCACTGTCACCATGACAGGTCATGTGGGAGGAGATTCTGAGGAGACAGAAAGGAAAAACTTTAGGACTGTGCCCTCTTTGACCCCGTAGCTGAATGAACCCAAAGTCACAAGAGGAAGGAGACAGCACAGGGGAATCTCGGAGCAGTGACGCTTGGTGACACACCCAGTGACCTCTGACCTTCTGGAGGTTCACTTTGCCTGTGGACCAATGAAACAAGGTGTTTGTTGTTTTCCGGGTATCTGTTTTTAAGAATTAAGAAATTCTTATGAAATTTTGCAGATAGAGAATTAAGTGTACCTGTGGGCTGATACAGTAGAATGTGGGTGTTGGACTGTATTCCCCACCTACCGAAACCATGGCATCTGTCGTTCATGGGAACGGCAGTTCCTAGCTGTGGGACATCCATGTTAGAAAAATCAAAAGGCAACAAAACCACTGCTTTTAGTACAGAAATGTGTTCAATATCAAACCTGTAATGTTTGCGTGTTTGATCTACTCATTGGTCTTTGACTTAGATGAAACTGGCCTGACCGTACAAAGCTAGGTTCAGAAGGATTCTGGCTTTGTGCCATCCAGATGAAATTTTTAAAGAAGGAAATTCATCATTCTGACACTCTTCTACAAATGCAGCGTTTTTTGAAGCATACCTTAAAATGTGTCTTGTTTACTTCCATTTAGTGGTTCATGTTAATTTGAATAAGGTCCTTAACTATGTCAGCTTAGTTTAAACTCTATTATTATTTATTTTAAAGATTTATTTTTATTTTTACTTGTGTATGTGTAAGGACTAGGGAGTCCAGAGATACTACATAAACATTTGCAAAGGAAGCAGGGTATAAGATAAATAGCAATGGAAATGACAGACAGGATCTGCCACTCATGACACTCAGCCTGTGGAAGAGACTCGGGAAGGCTAATCCCAAATTATAACATAGTGCTGTTTTAAAGTCTCATTTAACTTGTTCTTTTTAAAAAAGCATTATTATTAGGCCAAAATTATTTCAGGGCCTGTACCTCGAGGCCTGTAGGACAGAGAAAAGCCTGACTTGAGTTTGCAGGATAGTCTCAAAGCTACCGAGGGGGGATGATACAGCAAAATCTAGGTAAATGCCCCTCCAGCCAGAGGGCTTGGCTGTCTCTCATTGGCTGGAGGTACCCTACCCCCATGTCTCATGATGTCACTTAACCTATATAAGCTGATGCTCACAGTAAGAAACTGAGTTTCTGCTTTGACTTGACTCTGTATCGGGGCTGTGGATCTTATTGTCCTGCTTCATGGGCTGCAGAAGGGGCAGATAGTATACTTACCTTTCCCTGGGAAATAAGGCTAAGGCCTGGCACATTATTCAAATTTTCTGTGCAAAATTATATGAATGGAGTTTTTGCTACATTGTAAGAAAAATTATAACATATATTTTTAAAAAGCCAAAGATAAATGAACTATATTCTTTCCTTTCAAAAAACAGTCTTGCTGACAAGAATTGCTCCCATGCTAACGAAATAATAACTAAATCTGGTAGCTCTGAGTATTTCATCACAAGAAAGCAGTAGGACATGTGTGAATGTCGTGGCAGAATACTGTCTGAACTAAGCTAGGATCAGCTTCTGGAGAGAGTGGAAGGGAGGCTAAGGAGACTGAGATCCGTGCATATATCAGGGCAGCTGATGAACACGCTGGCAACTACCACATCAATAGATCTGGCAGAACCTGGAAAAACAGATGAAGGCCATATGGGTTTCCTTCCTTAAAAAGGGCTGGCAAAGTGTGCTTTTAGAATTCCCAGCTCACCAACTCCTAAGGACTCTGGTGGCTGTCCCTCTTGGGGCACTGGACACGCTTATAGGGTTTGAGGTCTCTCAGTCACTTTACTATTTTGCTCTTCCCATTTAAACTTTCAGCGTTCTTCCCCCATTGTTCTTAGACAGGGCCAGTGCTTCCTGTCAGGAGACCACCCAAAACAAGTCCATGATGCCATTAGTTTCAGATCTTCCTCTTCCAAGTGCCCTCTCATCATTCACAAGGCCTGGGATCATTTTCTCGTTTAGTGAAGATCTCACCTCCACCAATGAGCAGCTCTCTACGCTTTCTGAAAAGTTCTCACCTGTGCCACCTAACTCAACCTTTACAAGAATGTATGCATGTGCCATGGGGTCTTTGTTGTTTCTTTCTGTGTGATGTCAGCTGAGGCAGGGCCTCAGAAGCATCTAGAAGAAAACATACTCTGCTTAGCGTCATTGACCTTACTGGGATGTATACAGGAAACTCACGGTTCTTAAGATTGTGGTTTGAGTTCACTTAAACTATATTTTAAAGAACAAGCTGACCCCGGCCACCTGGGGAACGTGAAGACATCCAGCTGGCTGACATCTGGGTCACAGCTGGCTGACATCTGGGTCACAGCTGGCTGACATCTGGGTCACAGCTGGGCTACATAGGTAATGAAACAGGATGTAGGAGATGTAAGAGTAGTAAGTGTTTGTCTCGACAGTACTGCTGAGTACTTCATGGCGTGTCAGTAACGTTCACAGGCTCCTTGGGGATCAGGACCCCTTCAGAGACAGTGTCCATAGCAAAGGCCAACCTGCTGTCTCCACCATCTTTCCCTCCTGAACTCATATCAAAGCCTTACTGTTCTGGGAAGTAATGGAGATGGCCTGTCTGTTTCATCCTATAAATCCACAGAAGGTATAATCAACCCAGAAGAAGGATAGTGAGTATTCAATATGGTTAAGTAGTTATCTCTACTGAACATTTTCCTACTTTGTGTAGAAAATCTCCTCTCTTGCTTTATCAGGTGAAGAATAAAGACGTTCTCCACCATGCAGTTACA